TTAAACAGCAAGTACTCGCTTAGAGGACAGGTGAAAATGCCTTCTCTTACGCCGATCTTTTTAAAGCCTTCCTTAAAAGTTGATGGAGAGTAAACAAATATTTGACATTTGACCTAGACCACATGGCGTGACAAAAGGTACACGTGGTCAGTCTGCCCACGTTTGTATAGTATAATCTACTAGCTTCAGTCAGTTATTCGTAAACACGGACAAATTCAAGCATTTAAATAGCTTTCCCTACTGGACAAAGAGTGGACACGGGACCTAGTGTATTCCGACATTGCGATGCTAAAACCAAAAAGAATTCATCAAATGAGCTTGGCAATGCAAACATTATACCGAAATCGGTGAAATCTCAGAATTGCCTTCTTCCAAGGCATTAGAAAGGTAATCTTAGTCCCTGTTGGCGACCCACGAACATTATATCTGTGCTTCTATTCACTCGATGCAATAACTAAGGACTAAAACCTTCGCCTTGGCACAGACCACACATCCAACATCGCTCAATCAATGTCGCTATTGTACACACGTCGTCCGGCAGGCCGCCCCAGACACCGACTTCAAACGTGTCGGGTTCTGTGTTTAAGTATACATGTCTGATAGGACATCACACGATTTCTCAAACAGGGGCACAATACGTTGCTTATGAGCCATTGGTCAGCGGCAAAACGTCCAACACGAGTTTTATGTCTTTATGATCCATCACCCACTTGCAACATAAAGAACATTGTCAGTGGCTTTATAAGGACATAAAGACTTTATGATTTAATAATTGTTTCTGAAGATACACAGTACATGTAAACAGACGGAGAGTCGTCTAGTACAATCCAGGACCAAAGGGATAAACACCATAAACATTTCGAAACACAGATTCCCTTTTTCCTTACAGATTCCTGTCTGAATTCCATTTTGTTTCAACCTTAGTTAAATTAAATTTATTTATTTTTCTATTTCTAACTGGGTTTTGTTCATCCAAGCTAAGTATTCTTCTAATGCGTCGAGGGGGTGAGGGGCCTTCATCTCAGTGGTTAAAGCGTTGGCCTGTTCATCTCGAAGGTGTTGATTGGCCAGACTCTCCTAATAGATAATGTTGAAGCCCATTTCGTTTCTCAACGATGTTGATTGGTTATTAACAAAACAACGTAAAACCAAACTACAGAGCAAAACCAGTCAGTCTAATGCGTGGTAATTCAATCAGGGTGAAGACCAAATGGACCAGTCTCTTTCATGCCAGAAACTGTTTTTCACTGGAGTTATTCATATCGAACGATGATTACAACTACTCTTTGCTCCTAACTTGTTTACAAAACAAAGCTGATTATTTAAAGAATCATTTTTTCAGGATTTAACTACTGTACTGCTATTACATACAGATAATTCCGTATTACAGGAAAAAGACCTCCAAGCAAAACCGTGAGTAGCATGGTTCTTAGTCTAAACGTACCTGTCAGGGAGTCGACACAAATCGACCAGTTCATTACTACCATTCATTATCACACAAAGCTGATTGGAAACTTCCAATATTGACATTGGACAACACCTTCTATTATTACGCTATCCATACAGTTTGTCAATATTTTACTTCCCATTTTCTAAAATGCCACTCAAAGAAGACTGGAATTGAAAACTACAGCTGACATTTCATTACATCATAAATCGTGACGAACATAAATATAATCTTACTGGTAATTTCCACGAAGTAATGTCACTGCGAGTTTCGTTTTAATGACATACGCTTTACATATATGTTTCAAATACAACTGGGGTGATAAAGGTTGTATCTACTTCGTGTCAAAAGCTTGTATAAGTTGGATTATAGGAGCAGCAACAATAACAATCTCTCCCGCTGCGACTACAGCAGTGGTTAGCATGCCCGCGACAATAAAAGCTGATCTATCGTCAACGGTTGAATAAACCAGCAGTACAAACTCTCCACGATCTTCTCCAGGAATGTAGGTCCCGAAACCCATAATTACAGATCATCCCCCACATAAAAGAACTCATGTTTTGCACGAGCAATCAAATCAGAACACCGACATAAGTGTTCGTCATAAAACTCGCTATGGTTGTGTTCATCTGAGGACACATGCTTTAATCTTTACAGGACTCATTCGTGTGGAATAGTTGGTGGGACCTGTATCTGCGTATACAGTGAACACTAAACGATTATTACAAGCATGTAGAACACATTCCTGCCTTATTGATAGGTACATGTTACCTGAAGCGTTCTAATTGATTCAGCTTTCTGTGATGTGGTTTCGAGTTCGTGAGTGCGTGAAGTAAACGTAAACAAATACACGTAGGCAACCAACAATAAAAACAAATACTAATTTCATATCAATTCCGTATTTAGGTTTTCAGTGTTGCAAAATATTTTTGTTTTGTATTCATTATTGTCGAAAAGAGTAAAGGTAAATAAAACAAATTAAATATTAGACGTATTTTACAGTATGAGTTTAATTTGTTATCCTTGGTGATATATTTTTACAAATACCTAAAACCATCAAAAAATAAATTTACAAAATAAATGTAACTTTTCGTATTCATTTAACAGTAATCATAT